TGGGAGTATACAGCAGGTGACTAGAGTTCAGAAGGTCAACCTATCAGAACTAAGGGTTCTGTTAGAGGAAACCACCATCTGGGGTAATAGAAAACTGTCCCCAGCTGCATTTATTTTTCATTAACATAAATCTGGCTAGGGCCATTCTCCAGACAAAAGTATTTCAACTAAGATACTTTTTTATCCTAGGACAAAAGCAGGTAGATAAACATTAGCTCATCTCATCCACAGATAGAGGAAAATAACCACTAGCAATTAGATACTCAACTCCTTACCTTCACACCCGGTTATTTACACAAGATCCCAGCTTAAGAGATTTACTGCTCACATTGCTAGGATGATGTTTTAACCAGTGGCTAATTACTAAGTTAAGGTAATTATGTCCCACTGACCTAAGGAGATTTCTGACAAGGCCAAGCTGGCAATAGGTGCTAAATTTTGTTTGTTGTGCAAATTAAGTTTTAATCCTCCTTAGCAACCAAATGCTACATGCTAAGAAGTAGGTTGCCTAGCAACCGAGCGTAAGTCCCCCCCCCTTCCAGAAAGCAGCAGCAACTGGCATGAGCAGGGAAAAAAGCAGCACTAAAGACAGTTTCACCTTTCTAGTGACTTATTGATGTTTATAGACCCCTAACAGTCTACCCAGCCACTTCTAGATTTGAGCACAGAAATTTGGGTTGTAATTGGAAGCTGACAATTACTGCTTTGTGTGTGGATCCCTATCACCTCTCTCTGCAACCCTGAAACTTCAAGCCTCTAGTTGCTCAAGGGCAATCTTATCAGAGTTTGAGATTAAAAACATCAGGGCAGGCAAGTGGTACATCTTGGCAGCTGCTGGAAGAGGAAGGTGGGTGAGAGAAATAGAGGAATCTGTGCCATTTGTCAGCACCCATGTGGTAAAAAAAATGAGTGGGCAAGCTTCAGAGAAAGAGAGGGACAGCTCAGAGTGTAGGGAAAGCACACCCAGCCTTTGGTTGGTATCTGAAAAAACAAGAGATAGAAAGGAAGTTTTGGAAGAGTCATGATTTTCTGAGTCAGGACTCAGAATAGGAGGTGGGTCTCATGGTACAGGTACTACAGTGCTTCCTGATGGAATTTCTGCAAGTGGCTGCCTAGAATTTGGAAAGAAATGCAATTAATTATTGTTATTATTATTATTATTATCATCACTATTATTGTTGTTATTATTATTATTATTATTATTATTGTGTGTCTGTTTGAGTGTATGTTTACTTTGTGTGTGGATGCACACACCTTTACATAGAGGCCAGATCGGGGCACTGATTGTCCTCTATCATTCTCTGTCTATTCTTTTGAGGCAGGGTCTCTCCCTTAATCTGGGCTGGTATTCTCTTAGCTAGGCTGGAAACCAGCAAGCCCCACCCTCCTCCTGTCTCCACCTCTGTTGTGGGATGTCTTTCTGTATGCTGTGAATATGTGTTGCTCAGATTGGCTAATAAATAAAGCCATTTGGCCTATGGCAAGGCAGGTTATAGCTAGGTGTGAAACTGAAGAGAGAGAGGGGAAGAAAGGCAGAGGGGAGAACAGACGCCAGATGCCGCTGAAAGAGAAGCAAGATGTCAGCAGACTGGTAAAGCCATGGAGTAAATTTCAAAACACAGATTAATAGAAATGGATTAATTTAAGATATAAGACCTAGCTAGCAATAAGCCTGTCATAGGCCCTGCAATTGGTAATTAATATTAAGCCTCTGAGTGATTATTTTATAAGCAGCTGTGGGAACATGGGGGCCTGGCAAGACAAGGGGAAACTCAAGGCTATACACCTCCACTTTGGAGATGGGGTTATGGGTGTGCTTAGGATGCCAGGCTTATCATTGGGACTGGGGTGCAAATCCCAGTCATCATGTTTTAGCAGCAAGTGTTCCAGACCACTGAGCTATCTTTCAAGCTTCAGTTATACCTTAAAAATGATTTCTTTTAGATTTATTTTTATTTTGTGTGTAAGAATGTTTTTCCAACACATATCTGTGCATCATGTGTGTGCCTGGTGCCTGCAGAGGTCAAAAGAGGGCATTGGATCCCCCCAGAACTGGAGTTAAAGTTAGCTGTGAGCTGCCATGTGGGTGCTTAGAACCAAACCCAGATCCTCTGCATGAGATTTTTAACCTCTTTTGAGCTATGATATTGTTGACCATCAGCCTTCCTAATGCTGTGGCCCTTTAATACAATTTCTCATGTTGTGGTGACCCCCAACCATGAAATTACTTTCATTGCTACCTCATAACTGTAATTTTGCTACTGTTATGAATCATAATATAAATATCTATGTTTTCTGTTGTTGTTAGGTTACCCTGTGAAAGGATTGGCCAATCCATAGAGGGGTTGAGACCCATAGTTTAAGAACCACTGCTCTAAAAGGCCACAGCTCAGTGAATTTTCAAAGTGAACACATTCTTAACATCGATGTGAAGATCAGCTGCATGGTAACTTTGGCTGTTGACTCTGCCCCCCTTAGCTTCCCAACGTGGGAGAGTTATGTTTACCACCAGCTCTGGGATCCATGCTCACCACTGAGTCTAGGAAGCAGTGGGTAAAGCCTCTATTAAGCAGTGTGTAGCCCAGAATTCCCCGCCCTTTGTTGTCTGTACTAGCAAAAGCTAAATCCACCATGCAGTATGCTGTACAGCTTGGAGATGCCTCTGTGTACCGGGAGAGGAATCCACCATACTGTAGGTCAAGCCCACATGTCACTGTGTCTCTGTATCATGACTTACCTGAGAGACATATCTAATAAGACACACTTGGCTCCATTTTAGAACCCCTTTTTAAAGCTTTCAAAGGTTTTCAGTGGAAATTCTTGTCACAGGTTGGGTGCCAAAACATAGCCATAGGTTTCTCCAGTCATGCCCGGCTCCACGGTCAGGACGAATCTTTCCCACCCACATTCTACAGCTACTCAGTCCCAAGTAAACACACAGAGGCTTATATTACTTACAAACTGTATGGTCAGGCTTCTTGTTAGCTATCTCTTATAACTTAACACAACCCATTTCTATTAATGTATATGTTACCAAGTGACTGTGGCATTACCAGTCTGCAGGCATCTTGTTGCTCCTTGAGCAGCAGGCTGGCACCTCTCCCATTCTGCTTTCTCTTTCCTGTATCTCTTTGGATTTCCTGCCTGCCTCTAAGCTGCCTTGCCATAGGCCAAAGAAGCTTATTTATTAGCCAACCAGAGCAACACAAATTCATAGTGTACAGAATGACACCCCACAGTACATATCAGTGTCTATATCCATATCCGTATCTGAAGCAACATGTTAAGTACCACCCCAACATTTACGCCAAATACTCAGGAAATAAGAATAAAAACTCTTTAATAATGCATATCTGGTTCTGGCCAACATCCTAGAGAAACTAGACTCAAAGAGACATTTTTAACAGCTTCTGTAGGTCTTGGGCACTAGCAATCCATATGTGTTGTCCTCTGTAAATATCTTGTAGGTTCCATCAGACTTTGAGCAGTTACACGTATTTCACAGAGATAGGAACTGCAAGCCTAGCTATTTCAGATAAGTGAAGATTTATAGCAAAGATATTGTCACCATTACTTTTAAAGTAGACCAGTGGTGTTTTGTTTGTTTGTTTGTTTGTTTTTAATCACATTACTTCTGTCTTAGTCATTGTTCTGTTGCTCTGAAGAGACCCCATGACCAAGGCAGCTCTAATAAGAAAGCATTTAGTCTATGATCACCATGGCAGGAACATGACAGCAGGCAGGGCAGGTGCTGGAGCAGCAGCTGAGAGCCACATCCTGATCTGTGGTCAGAGAGAAAAACTCTGGGATGAGCATGGGCTTTTGAAACTTCAGAGCCTACTCCCCCCAGTGACACACTTCCTCCAACACAGCCACACCTGGTGAGCAAGTATTCAAATATATGAACCTGTAGGGGCCATTCTTATTCTAACCAACACACCCAGGGCTATCCTGCCCACTTGGCAGAATTACACTCTTCCTGATAAGAGAACCAGGACTTAATGATCATTGTTAGCCAGTGTTATGCCCTCTGAACTGCCCAGTAGAGCCATGTTGATGTGGGAATGGAGCCTAATTCACAACTAACTTAACAAACAAATATTAAGAGAAATATATTCTCAGAAGCCTAAACTACAATTATGTTCAGAGTACAACTATTTTCCTACATTTTCTAACAAGTCTGGCTGTCTTACTACTGATCAACCAGTCATATGAGAGGCAGCACTGCCTGAGGTAAACCCTACCTTGTGCAGCTTAGTATTTCCTAAGCAAGTTTACTGCTGAATCCTCTGTAGCGTTAACTCATCACTCTCAGTTTTCCTACATCATATCTATATCTTGTTCATTCTTTTGAAACAAGGTCTCATGTAGCCCCAGGCTGGCCTCCAGCTCAACAGTAGCAAGAGATGATCTTGAATTCTTAATCCACCTCATTTACTTCCCCAGTGCTGAGATATAGCATGAGTCCTGCACCTACAGCCATACTGTAATGCAGTACTGCTCAGATCATCCAGTATCAATGCAGACTTCCATGGTGGTGGATTGACCCTGAAATTGCTAGGTCCTCAGAAGGGGAAAGGTGGCCAGGGGAGGTCTTCCTCTGTATCTCTCTCTGTCTAAGTGTTTTCACAGGGTAGCAACAATGTCTCACTGACTAACAACAACCCTGGTGCCCTTGTGCTTGGCAGCTTCGAGAAAAATATGGAAATGTGTTCACAGTGCACCTGGGACCGAGGCCCGTGGTCATGCTGTATGGCACAGAGGCCATAAGGGAGGCACTGGTGGACCAAACTGAGGCTTTCTCTGACAAGGGGACAATTGCTGTGGTTAAACCATTCTTCAAGGACTATGGTAGGAGTCTCAAAGTTTGGTAAGAGGTGTGCTAGAGAATGGGCCCAGAGAGAGGAGAATCTGATGGAAGGGAGGGCATGGGGTGGGGAAGGACCCAGGTTTCTTTGAACTTCCTCTATAACTTCCCCATGCTCCCCCTACTTTCTTAGGTGTGGTCTTTGCCAATGGGGAACGCTGGAAGACCCTTCGACAATTCTTTCTGGCTACTACGAGAGACTTTGGGATGGGGAAGCGGATTATGGAGGAGCAGATTCAGGAAGAGACCCAATGTCTGGTTGAGGAGTTTTGGAAATGCCAGGGTAAATCCTGGAGAATGTCTATAAAGGAGGATGGTGATACAGAGACCTGAGTGCACAGTCAAAGAAGGAGAAGAGACATACATGGGCAGAGAAAGAAACACACACACACACACACACACAGACACACACACACACACACACACACACACACACACACAGACACACACACACACACACACACTGGGGAGAGGATGGAGGATAAGGTAGGGGGAGAGAGAAATACAGAAAGACAGGGAAAGAGATGTGAAGTTCACAGTGTCCAAGAATGGCTCAGAGACATAGATTGAGAGAATTGCATGCAGGCTACTTATATTCAGGGAAATCGATGCCTGGGTTAAGAATATGTGTCATCTGGGGTGATGGTAGAAAGCTGTCATCCCAATACTCAGGGGGCTGAGACAGGAGGGTCATAAATTCAAAGCCAGTTTGCCTACATCATGATATCTTGTCTTAAAAATAAACCGTGGTCGACATGGTGGGTGCAGGTCAGGCTTGCTGGGCTTGCCTGGCACACACACAGTTCCCAGCCTGATCCTAACACCACAACATTGGCATGGTGCCACATGCTGGTCACCATGGTATACCTGAGGTGGAGGCAGGAGCTTAAGGTTGGAGGTCATCCTTGACTTTATACGGTATTCAAGGGCGTCTGTATCACATTAACCAGTCTCAAAACACGATATATGTCCAAGGCAGGTGTTAGAAGCAGGGAACTGTGTTCTTTCCTTGAGGATGTCCTGATGAGTGGGGTGGTGAGCAAAGATGGGGTGTTTTACTTTGTGGCAGTCATAGGCACTTCTGGGTACTTATAGAAACTTCACATCAGGGGCATCCTGGTGACCCCGTCTGTTTTTACCAAATTATTCCTTTTTGCCAGTGTTTGTCATCTCTTTTAAGATTCTCAGGAGACTTTGAGAGGTCCATGCAGAGACTGGAAGGGAACAGAAGAAAATCAAGAGACTAGGAAGGAGAAAGCAGGGTGATGGAGACTGGGAAGCTGAGATGGAGTTTGAAGGACCAAACAGAAGAGAAAATCTGGGGGAGCAGGAATGAGGGGAATAGAGGGGGGAGGAAAATAGGTAGGGAGAGGGAAAAGAGAAAGAAATGCTGAGAGACATTTAGACAAGAAATCAGAGAGACAGATAAAGGCTGACAAGCATCAGGGAAAGATCTGCAGGGGAATCAGAGACAACAGACAGGCGAGACCCAGAGAGAGGGACAACAACAGCCCAATATTGCTGGGCTGACAACATCCCTCCCACCATGAGAGCCCATGGAACTAAAGGCAGCAGGCACTGGGTGTTGATGGTTCTTGGAACACCACAGAGCCTAGAATCAGAAGGAATGGAGGAATATTCAAAGATGAGACTTCTAAATCCACACAGGCAACCCCCACACTGTTCTCTGCACCATTCCTGCCAGTGGGAGTCAGCTATGGGCTCAGAGTCAGAATGTTGTCCTGGGAGGAGGTGCACGGTGGAGACTACTACTTGCTCTGTTTCTCAGCTCCCTGGGTCTGATCCTGGTCCCAGTCATGAGGAGCTGTGTTACCTTGGTGAAGTTAGCACCCATCTCTGTGTATACTAATAGCATTGCATCTTATGTATAATTTTGAGAGGAAATTAAATAAAATGGTGTACGCAATTCTGAGTGCAGGGCCTGGTGCATCTTATGTGCAAATGGGGTAGCAGTTGCTGGTATTGAGTAGTTAGTGGTGGGGACAGGTTTACAGAGATGGGGGCCAACACCAAATGTTCCCCTGGTGCCATGTCTTGATGCATCCTCATTCTCTAGGAGCCCCCTTGGACCCCACCTTCCTCTTCCAGTGCATCACAGCCAACATCATCTGCTCCATTGTCTTTGGAGAGCGCTTTGACTACAAAGACTGCCAGTTCCTGGGCCTGCTGGACCTGTTCTATAGGTCCTTCTCTCTCCTCAGCTTATTCTCAAGCCAGGTCAGTGGATGGAAAGAGAGGAGCATCCAGGGCAGAGGAAAGAAGAGGTTTCTCTGTGGGTGAAGAAGGGAGTGTCTTAGGGCTGGAAGAAAAAGGCAGAGACAACATGGAAAGACAAGGAACCTGAGGCCTGGAGGGCGAGGATAGGGGTCAGATGTTAAGTAGGGTGGAGAAACCCTAATGCAGAAATACCAAGTCATCCAGACATCAGAAAATGATGACATGGGGGGTGTGGCTGTGGCTAAGAGGGTAGAGGACTTGTCTACCGGGTGAATCCTGGGGTTCATCCCTAGCACAAATTAAGCCAGGTTTGGCGGTACATATGTGCAATTCCACTACATGGGAGATCAGAGTTCAAGGCCATCTTTGGATAAATATTGAGTTTGAGGAGAGTCTGAAAGACATGAGACCCTGATTGACAAAAACAAAAACAAAATGATGGCTTAGGAAAGAGTGAGAGAGATACAATAGAAGTGCTGGAGAAAGACTCAGAGAAACAGGCTGAGAGCATGCTGTGTGTGTGTGTGTGCATGAGAGGGGAAATGAAGGAAAGAGAAGATGAGCAAAGGAGTGGGGGAGGGGAGGGGAGAGAATGGAAGGAGAGAGGGCAGATCCTTGTGAAATATGGGGACCTAGGAACACAGGTTCTAGAGTCCTGATAGCTCCAGGTGACCTCCTGACCTTCTTTCCTGCAGGTGTTTGAGCTCTTCTCTGGTTTCCTGAAGTACTTTCCTGGTGTCCACAGACAAATCTCCAAAAACCTGCAGGAAATCCTTGACTTCATTGGCCAGAGTGTGGAGAAGCACAGGGCAAACTTGGACCCCAGCAATCCAAGAGACTTCATCGATACCTACCTTCTACGCATGGAGAAGGTAAGTTCTGCATGAATGAGAGAAGTGATGGGTGAGAGTGAAGGCTGGGGATGTGAGCAGAGGAAAGGGGGGGCAGAGGATGGGGAGGAGAAATAGGAAATGGAGTGGAGAAGATGCAGAAGAATCTAGAAATTGAAGACTAGAGAAGGGGAGGAGAAAATGAAATATGGAGAAAGAAGGCTGTGGAAGAAACACAGGGCAAGGGACAAAAAGCAGAAAAGATCTCAGAGGAAGAAAGAGCCTGGGAGACAAAACACGAAAAACTACCAGAGAGTGAAGTCGAGAAAGAAGGAGACAAAATAAACAGAGAGCCAGTGACATTGTCGAGGACTGAGAAATGTCATTTTGTCCATATAGTGTGAGGCAGGACAGTTCCCAGGATGTGAGCATCTCCCTGTAAGCACACAGTCACCCCTGACCCTCCCTTCTCTCTCCCATCTGGAACCAGGAGAAATTCAACCCACACACAGAGTTCCATCACGAGAACCTCATGTTCTCCGTGCTGTCTCTCTTCTTTGCTGGCACCGAGAACAGCAGCACCACGCTCCGCTATGGCTTCCTGCTCATGCTCAAATACCCCCATGTTGCAGGTGGGACAGAGGTGGCTAATAGGGGAACCTTCTAGGTTGCTTTTGTCTGTGGAGGTTTGTGTGGATGAGAGAAACAGAGGCCTCTTACATCTGGAGCTCTGAAGGCTTTGGTTTCCTTCTAAACTAGGGCAGTGTTGTGAGTAGTATGTGAATGAATACTCAGCTGGCCCATTTTCCCTAGATTTTTCCTATGACTTTAAGTTTGATCCATCTATCCACCCATCTATGCATCTATCCATTCATCCATCCATCCATCCATCCATCCCTCCATCCACCCATCCACCCATCTATCCATCCTTCCATCCATCCATCCATCCATCCATCCATCCATCCATCCATCCATCTATCCCATCCATCTATCCATCCATCCATCCATCCAACCTTCTTTTCTTCCTTCCATTTTTCTATCTTTACATCCATCTATTCGTTCATCTTTCTATCCATACACCTCTTTATCCATCTACTCATTCTGTTCATTTACCCACCTATCTGTCCACCCACCAACCCATCTGTCATCTACCTATCCTTTCATTCATTTTCCCATCCATCTAAGAATCTAGCTATCTAAACACCTATTTACTTAACCATCCTTCTATCTGCCTACCTATGAATACTACACACACACACACACACACACACACACACACACACACACACACACTTAGTACCCACCTACTCAACTCATTAATCCACTGTCTATTCTTTAGTGATAACCCAACTGGCCATTTCATTCATTTATTTAATTCATCAACTTAGTTTCTCTTTGTTCAGTAGAACTGAATTAATTATTTGTCATTGATTATGCATAAATTCGTCTGTCCTTGTATCAAAAGATCCATTTCTTAATCCTTTCACTAACTGGCCTTTGAGTTTATCTTTCATCTGTCTATCCATTCTTCCCTTTATCCTCTAATTGAGTCATCTGTTGACTTATGAGTCGAACACATAATCCAGTGTTCTGTCTAATCATTTCATTAACTCATAATTCTGTTCATTTATTAATTGATTTATCCATTTATTTTATTATGTATTCATTATTACATGCATCCATTAATAGATTTTTTTGATAACCTACCTATTTCTCTGTTATATTCCTGAGGATACAGCCTTGAGTTCTTAATATAAAATTCATGTAGAGTTATGGTATGTGTGTGAGTGTGAGCATGTGTTTGTTAGTGCATTGTGTATGTGTATATGTATGTGTGTGTTTGTGTGTGTGTGTGTGTGTGTGTAGAGACAGACGATTCGTTCCCTTGCAAAGGTGAGATTTTTGCTGCTTTTCTCCCTCACACTCTTACACCAACATGATTGCTATGAAGTCTTCCTATGCAATAGCCATTTTTGTATGATTTTCCTCTTCTTTTAAATCCTTGCTGAAATGAGGTTGAAGCTCTCGGAGGAGAGATGTGATATAGTTTTAAGCATGGGCACAGAGAGACAGTCACTTAAGAACAGGAGAGTTGTTTGTACCTGCAAGTGTAGTGAGTTTCTCAGAGAGGGAGATTGAGAGATTTTCAGATCTCATCCCCATTGGTATCCTGCACAAAGTCACCAAAGACACTTTGTTCCGAGGGAACCTGCTCCCCAAGGTGAAACCAGCTGCCATTCCACATTTCTACACCGTGATCATCCTCCACTTTCCTCATTATCAACCTCAGCCTGTTTGTGGTTTCCTACATTCTGTGTTTCTCAGGGACTGACTGCAGATGGGAGTCAGGGTATGCTAATATCTTTGTGTCTCATAATGTCTCCTAAAACACTGAAGTGTACCCCATCCTGAGTGCAGCTCTCCATGACCCACAGTACTTTGAACAACCAGACACCTTCAACCCTGACCACTTCCTGGATGCCAATGGGGCTCTGAAGAAAAATGAAGCTTTCATGCCCTTCTCTATAGGTGAGACTCACTTTTGCTTCTTTTCCCAGACACTAGAGGGCAGGCTCATCCTCCAGGATACAGACAGGTCTAGGTCTCTGTTTACTGATTTATTTCAGCTGCTTTGCCTGAACCATCCCTTTTACCCTGGCCTACAGCTCCATAAGCAGACTCTTGAACTAAAGGAATATTCTGGCCACAAGAAATTTGGGGAATTATTTAACAGGCTCCAAACCTGAGCAAATGTATTTTCTTAGGAAACAGCAGCAAGAAAGACTCTCATCATTTATGAACACAGCTGTGAACTGGGTAGGGTCTTGATGGCTGGGGAGGTATTGACTTTAGCTGTGAGCACCAGGTAGATGGTGCATGTCTTCACATGTTTGTCTCTGTGTGCAATAAATACCCCAGCTTGGTAAAATGTAAGAGAAATCAAAATTACTAGCATTTATTTGAGCAAACAAACCATCCATGATGGATGATAGCCTGAACCAGAAAAAGCTCAGGGTTACAGCACCCATCAGTGCCAGCACTCAGTGTCTACAGACAATGGGGAGCTGGGCATGGACACACAGCTTGATTGGTGCCAGCTCTGCTTTTGCCTTACTTGGCCATGTTGGAGTAGTTGGCAGCCTGGGGTAGGTCAACTGCTATGAGAGACTGAGACTTCTACTTCATTGGAAGATATAATCTCAAGTTGTCGATTAGTTCAGTTGCCTATTGTTTTGGTTAGTTTGTTACATACAGGAGGTGCCTCCAGCCAAATTTAATGTAGTTTTATGGACTCTATGGGATGTAAACATGAAAGATTTGTGTTCAGGCTTTTAATCTTTTGGAGAAAGGGGCATTCTAGAAACAATTCCTTAGCCTTTAATTGCCCCCCCACCAACTCTATGTCCTCATGATGGGGATGGAAACCAGGGCTGAGTGTGTGTTAAGCATCCCTTCAAAAGAGCCCACATCTCCAGCCTCTGCTGGGTGCATTCTAGAAAATGCTCTCCTGCTGAGCCTCTGTGTTCTCATGCCATCACTGAGGCATTTTTGGCAAGTGTTCTCTTACTAAGCCAGGTCTCAGCTAAAAATTGTCTAGTGTTGAGTGTCCAAGTCACTTCAAGACCCTGGACTGATCCTGGCTCCTGGCATTGTACAGTGTAAGGGCCTACTTTCATATTTGAGCTTCAGAGTTGTAGACATGTAGGGTGTGAGATAAAAGTGAATTGTCTGTATAAGAGTCCCAAGTTTAGAAAGGCAGGTTGTGGGGAAAGGGGATGTAAGAAGAAGACATGGAAGGAATGCATGACCAGATGTGATTGGACAGAGAAGGTAGAGGGGTTAGAATGTTGGCTAGGAAGTTTAGAAAAAGCAAGCCGAACAGAATAGATCATAAGACACGTAGTGATGGTTGGTACAGATGCAGGTTCATGGAGACTGCTGTGAGATGCTAGCAACCGAGCTAGCAAGCAAGCCAAAAGGATATTAGTGCCAAAGGGACATGAATGGTTGTGGAATGTTCCTTACCAGCTTACTTATTTAATCAGTTGTTCTTTAGTTGGTGGAGACTTTTTGGGAGTTGTAAAATATTTAAAGGTGGTAACAAGTTATTTAGATTGGGCTAATATTCATAGCCACTTTCTTTCTTCCTCTCTTTCCCTCCCTCCCTCCCTCCCTCTCTCTCTCTCATGAATTTCCTTTTTGCTAGTGATATGTGACCCTTCCTATGTCAAA